GAGCAACATATGAATTTATAGCCCTTTGTGTCTAGTTTTCAGAACATCAAAGCATTTGTCATTTGGATTTGTGTGCAAAAAGTTATGACCATTATACTGGAGGCTGTCCGGAAGAGCTGGAAATTGTTCTTCGCGATCGCGAAGCATTGTCCGCGATTGCGAAGGGCAAATTATGGGCTGAGAAAAGTTGTTCTTTGCGATCGCAAAGCATTTTCCACAATCGCGAAGAGTAAATACCTGGGCAGAAGCTTTATTTCATGGTTTCGGCCATTTTTAACATTTTTGGACCAAGGGAGCTCGGGTGAGGCAATTTTTCGAGAGATTTTCAAGGAAAATATCGGGGTAAGTGTTCTTAACTCAATTTTGGTTAGATTACTCGAATCCATTGTTATTTTAACATGTAATTGGTGATTTTAAGTTGGGAAAGTTTGAATGGACATATTTGAGGATTTGAGGGTCGAAATATTATCGAAAATTAGTAATTTTGGTATGGTTAGACTCGTGGTTGAATGGGTTGTCGGATTTTGTGAGTTCCGTCGGATTTTGAGATGTGGCCCCACGGGCAATTTTGAGTTAAATTTCGGATTTTGTTGGAAAATTAGTATTTTCATATGGAATCAATTCCTATAACTAGTATTGACTGAATTGAATTAACTATGACTAGATTCGGGTCGATTGGAGGCCGATTCAAGGGGCAATGACGTTTCGGAGTAGGATTTGCTCGGATTGAGGTGAGTAATGATTGTAAATGATGTTCGGAGGGTTTGAAACCCCGGATTGCACATCGTAGTGCTATATTGAGGTGAGACACGCGCTGGATGATGAGCGTGGGGTCTTTTACTACTGGGAATTGTGACTTGGTCCATCCCTATTGAGGATTTTACCGCGTATTTGACTGAAACTTATTTGTTATCATCATGATTTGGGTTGATTGCCATATTTGGGCTTCGTGCCAATTATTTGAACCCTTCGGGAATTTTTATCACTATTTCCGACTGTTTGATTTATTATTGTAAATCAGTCCTATTGATATCTGCTGTTTTACAAACTCAGCCACTTTTACTCAGATTTGAAACTTAAATGATATTTCTAAATGATGTTTTGGGCTGAGAACTACTGTTTTACTAATGCCCGAGGGGCATGTGATGATTTTCGTACTGAGCGAGGTCGAGGGCCATATGTGAGGATATGCTGAGTGATATGAGGCTGAGGGCCTGAGATACATTTATATGCCACGAGGTGGCTTGAGTGATGTGAGGCCGAGTGCCGAGTGATGTGAGGCTGAGTGCCGAGTGATGATGCCACGAGGTGGCTTGATATAGCGCTTGGGCCGTAAGGGGCCCCTCCGGAGTCTGCACACCCACAGTGAGCGCGGGTATCCATTGTTCTGAGAGTGAGCCCTAGGGGCTGATACTATTCTGAGAGTGAGCCCGAGGGGTTGATATGAGTGATTATGAGGTAACGTGAGGGGCTCATACGAGTGATTGTGAGGTAGCCCGAGGGGCTGATACGAGTGATTGTGAGGTAGCCCGAGGGGCTGGTACTGTTCTGAGATATTGCCCGAGGGGCGAACTTTTATGTGTTCATCTTTCATATTTACTCATCATTTTACATGTTATACTGTGGTATTTGTGACCGAGGGGCGGATTTTCTGTGCTTATCGGCACTGACTGTTTTGCATTCATTTGAGGTTTAAACTGAGCTAAGATATTTGTAAAGATTTCACAGCTTCACTGCTTTATCTCAAAGGTTTTTTACACTGCTTCTATACAACATGTTGGTTTGCTTTACGTGATTTCTTACCGCTCAGTTGTTATTTAACTTTATTACTTACTGAGTTGGAGTACTCACTTTACTCCCTGCACCTTTGTGTGCAGATGCAGGTATTTATACACCCGGTAGCGGGTTTTGGCTGATTAGAGGCAGAGTTATCGGAGTTTAGCGAGGTGACTGCCAGCGTTCGCAGCACCGCTCTTCTCCCTTCTCGTTCATTAGTCCTATTCTGTATATTTTAGACCTTGTAGTTGTATTCATACTCTAATAGATGCTCGTGACTTGTGACACCCTGGTGTCGGGCTGTGTTTGGGTTGTATTCCGCACTTTATAAAGAAATCTTTTGCTTAGTTTGTGGTTATTTAATCATACTGAAACTGTTTATTAATATTAATTATTCTGGAAAGGCGAAATGGGTTAGTTGGCTGGCCTTGTCTTCACGAGAGGTACCATTACGACCGGATCGGGGTTTGGGTCGTGACATCAGTTGTATTATTCAGCTGTATTTTGGTGTATTCAGATGTATTCAGCTATAGTCAGTTGAATTGAACTGTATTAATCACCTAGAGTTAGCTGTATTCAATTGATATATTCAGCTTTATTCAACTTCTATATTCAGATGTATTTAGCTATATTTCAGTTGAATTCAACTTCTAGAGTCAGCTGTATTTTGGTGTATTCAGATGTATTCAGCTATAGTTAGTTGAATTGAACTGTATTAATCACCTAGAGTCAGCTGTATTCAACTGATATATTCAGCTTTATTCAACTTATATATTCAGATGTATTTAGCTATATTTCAGTTGAATTCAAATTCTTTAATCAGCTGTAGTCAGCTGTATTCAACTGCATTTGTATTCAGCTTTATTCAACATCTATATTCAGATGTATTTTTAGCTATATTTCAGTTGAATTCAAATGCTTTAATCAGCTGTAGTCAGCTGTATTCAACCTAATTTCTCTGTATTCAGCTGTATTCAGCTGTAGACAGTCATATTCAACTGTTTAAATCATAAGTAGTCAGTTGTATTATTCAATATTATTCAGCTTAACATATTTTAAAAAAAAACTGAATTGTTTTATTCAGATGTAGTAAGATGTAGTCAGTTGTAGTCAACAGTTTTATTCACATATAGTCTGTTGTATTCAACTGTATTTTTCATATGTATTTCTCTGTATTCAGCTATATTCTTTAATAGTTTGATTAATTGGACTCACACCATGTACTTACCTGTTTTGTGTATAGCATATTGACGTCATATTCTACTATTTGAGAAAGAAGGGAAAGTACAATCAAACAAGCAACTTCAAGTATACAACTATTGATTGTATATTCAAGACAAGAATCGCTGAAATATTCGACAGGTATGCTGATACAGATAGTAATGCTAATGTAGCCAAAGAAGAGGATGTGGTATGTGAGTACATAAGAGGCTACAGATTGCATACTAATGTACCTTGGCATACTGTGGATAATGTCATGATACCAGTCAACTTGAAGGACAAACTACACTGGATATTGGCTGTTGTCTCATTCAAGGAGAGATGTATCAAAGTGTATGACTCGTACAGATCTGCAGGTCATGATGCTTATGTAGTTTCTGAGATTGATAAACTAGCTAAGCTTGTACCTCTGTATCTATCAATCAGTGGCTTTTACAGAGATAGTCAAGGCATAGATTGGTCTGCTTATCTCAGCATACACTGACAAGTCACATAATGATCCCTTTGAAGTTTTTTTCATTTCAGATCAGCCTCAACAGAAAGCTGGGAGCATGTAAGTATTCAATCATCATTATTGTATGTTATATAAAAATCTAATTGTATGAATTATTTTTAATTGTTTCAATCAATTTTTTTAGGGATTGTGGGGTGCATGTTGCAGCATACGCAGAGTTTCTGAGCACTCTTGGAGAGATTCCACAAACAACATTTGATTCCACTCTACTCCGTCAAAGATATGGTGCTCTCCTCTGGGACTATGCTATGCGGAAGATAGACGCTGATGCCATAAGCGAGAATGAAGCACCTTTAAAGATTGCAAGGCAAATCACGGAGTCAGATTCAAAGATGCAGATAGTGTTAGAGTAGCTTTAGGTTATTGTAGTTTTGGAGTGTAGTTTCAACAAGAATACTGTTTTGAGTAGTTTTTGGAGTAGATGGTATTTACTTTGAAAAACTTATCACTTTATCAACAGTGTTCGTGTATGACAATTGCAACTTTTCAACCACTATTTCACTGGTTTGTTCATAAGTATTCATGCTTATTCTTCAGTTTGAATACATATTTATCTTACAGGAGTCAAGTATGTATCAATACCAAATAACTTTGCTTGAACAAGTTTTAGTTAATGAACATGTTAATGTCAAAGTCAGAAACTTTATGTATGCTGATGGTAGGTTATATAAAAGAACTCAGCTGTATTTTTTCTGGTTTCAGTTGTATTCAATTGTATTTAACTGTCAAATTCAGTTGTATTCAGTTGTATTTAGCAGCATTCATTCGGATGTATCTTTCAAGTTTAGTTAATACATATTAAAGAACACAATTTCAGATGTATTAAACAGGTTGTACGTAGTCAGTTATATTCAGATGTACTCAGTTGTATTTAAGTGTATTATTCAGCAGTAGTTAGTTGTATTTAATTGTATTATTCAGTTGTATTTTGGTGTATTCATTTACTAACAGTGCTACTCAACTGTATTATTCATAAAAATACATCAGCTGTATCCAGTTGTATTTTTTAGTATTCATCTATACTCAGTTATACTCAACTGTATAGTTCATATATATTTATCTGTATAAAAATACTTCAACTATATGTATTCAGAAAAAACTCATTTCAGAATATATTACTTGACAATGAGAATTTATTACTTGACAATGTCATCATAAGTATTGACAAATCGTTGAAGCACCAATACATGTCAGAGTGTTAACTATTTATTACGTGGAGCATTTCTACACGTTCGCTTGTTATGCCCTCCCTGCCCACATATGCTACATGAATGTTGATTTTTCGGCTGCAGCAATTCACTTAAAGTTTTATCTCGCTTCTTCTTTGGCCTTCCAGGAGGTCTTTTCCATTTGGGTGGTAGTACAACCTCCTCTGCAACATGTTCTGGTATATTCCAGTCATTTCTGTCCGGTAGCCGGTGCACTGGCACATCGTATGTCATTACAATTGTATTTGGTTTGTAATATAATCCGTAGAAAGAGCTGCCACTTAATAATTTGCCGAACCATCTGGCATTAGAAACTTGCTCTTCAATACAGCCCAAGCATGTGGGCATGGCAATTCATCAACTTGGAACCTCCCACAAACACATTTTCTCTCTAACAGGCAGACTGTGTAATTCCTCCCACCATCGTTAACCGTATGTAAGTATTCAGTTGATGGTACCACCTACATTTAAAAATAGAAATATAAGTTTTGAGCACATATACCTGAATTACCAAATGTATAATGCTGAATTAATAAGTTACATACAATTGAAATATTTGCATATATATGAATACATCATATATTTAGACCAGCAAAATATCAACTGTGAGAATTGCAGAACTTATCAAAAGTCTGTTGTACTTTAGGCAACAGGATGCTAACAAAAGCATTAGAATCATACGTATTGACAATACATATTAAAATTACATATAATACAGCTTTGTTAGTTGTATTCTGATGTATTCCAATAGTTTTTGCAGCATGTTTTTAGTTATATTCAGTTGTATTCATATCAGATCTACGGAAAAATATGTCTTTTATGTGTTTGAATATAGTTGTCTTCATATGTATTAATGGTAGTTATACTTAAAACTGATTGTATTCATGCAATTAATTCAGAAAACAATTAAGCTATATACAACAATGACATTAAAATATAACTTACAGCCATACGTGTAGACATTCCCTCATTCAAAGTCAGCATCTCCGGGTATTTTTTTCCAAGCGTCGTGTATGTCTGTGTAGCTTCTTTGCGGTTACTACAATTCCAACGTCCAAACATCTTCCTAACTTCTTCGAGGAAGTTGTATATTGGCAATTCCCTTGCTGAAACTAGTGCGGCATTGATTGACTCAGCAATATTTGACGTCATTGTCCATCCCCTGTTAACAGGTGCATACAACCTAGCCCACTTTTCGTAACCAGCTAACTCTAAGTATTCTTTCACCCTAATATCTACCTTCTCCACCTTCTCCATCAGACTGTCAAATTCAGCTTGTGTGTATGCTTTTGCCATCGAGAAGTATATCTCGCTCAACTTGGCATGGCTCTTTTTGAATTTCTTATATACGTTGTTCCATAGATGCCATATACAAGCAAAATGCAGTACATCTGGATACACTCTCGATACAGATTTAATGATACTCTCATTTCTATCTGAAACGATGCACATGTTTTCCCTTTCACCATATGCTATCTTGAATTTTTCAAAGAACCACGTCCAAGCAGCATCGTTCTCATAATCAATAACACCATATGCTAGTGGCAATATATGACCTGTAAATACAATTGAATATAAATATTTTTAAAACATGTGTTTCAATATTTAAAATATTATAATTCAGATACTCACCTGCACCATCCAACGTGCTTGCCTAAACGAATGTCCCGGTGTAGTAAGATTTTAGGTGACTTCCATCCACAACAACAATGGGTCTCCAATGATCAAACCCCCTTATAAAGGCATACAAGGATATATACACGTACATGAATTCATTTTTTGGCGATTTTACCATTCTGATGTGGGAACCTGGATATGTCATATCCATTGTATATAAGTATCCTGGTAATTTTTTGTATGAATCAGCCGGTTCACCTCTCAGAAAATTCATTGCCTTTTCTTTAGCCCTCCACGCCAACATGTAGCTAACATCTACACCAAAATCTGATTTCACATCATCAGTAATATCCCTTGGAGTGTATTTCCTCTTATGGTTTGTAAGCTTAGGACTTATCATACCACCTATAAGGCTGCTACTAGCCTGCCGCTGCTCATACACCTTGTCCTTTAGCGGACATGTATGGTTATCATTGAATTCTCTCACCTTGAATAGTTCTGATTTGTTAATGCTTGAAGCCTTAAACCTCCATTCACAATCTTCTGAAATACATAATAATGCATAGTTGCAAAGAATTAATCATTTTACATTTGATTAGCATAAGTGTTTACAAAAAATACAGCTCATATGCAGACAAATACAATCTGACATAGATACATCCAGACATAACCTCCTTTTGATTAGTTTTTGAAATTATCAAATCCTTGTGGAGTTCAAACACTCCAATCGCTTCTCCTGAATTGACAAAATCTAGAGCCAGTGTATCATCTGTATCGGAATCGTACCTTTGAACTGCTTCGTCTATTTGCACAATGTCGCCTTGATTTAAACTACCTCCGGATATAAGATCTGTTTCGATAGTTGTTATGCACAAAGGATACATCCCAAATTCTCTATTCTCTTTTTTAATTCTACATACACTCTGTAACCCATATCATTGTGTATTCCCATTGGCGTGTAATTTCCTTCTACTTTGTATTGTATTTTAATGGTCTTTGAGCTCAAATCTATACCCACTTGATTAGAAATTGAAGCAACCAGATCATTAAAGGAGGCATACTCCTTTATCAGTATTCCCTCAATTGAAAAATCGATGTAATTGCCCTCATCGTTCCACTTGCCAAAATGACGCAACAAAACTGTTAAACTTGCCATATGTATAGAGGAACTATACCTTATTTTGTATATAATTTGTATCAATCGAAAAAAAGGAGAAGAGAATGGAAGAAGTTCGATCAGATGTTGCTCTGGTTTTTCGCTCTTTTCACGTTTCTGAGTTGCTTTCTTTGAGCAGAATACAGATTAATGAGGGATCGTTTTAGTTGGTTGAGTTAAATTAGGAGAATATCATGTGATTTGATTTCCTTCCGTTTTTAATCAGTTTAACCTTCCAAATTTTGCGCAGATACATTACTGTATTTCACGTTAATGCCGCTTGAATACAGCTAAATACATATCAAACTTAGCTGCAATTTCCGTTTTTACGCCTATTTTTTTTGTTGTATTAATGAATACAACAACTTAAATACATGAAATACATTGTATAAAAACATAAAAGGTATTTATAACACGTAATATAACAAAGGGTATCTATAAATGGCTAATTAGACCTAAAAGATGGTGCTTTATGAAAAATTTTCTGTATAGTTTCATGTCTTAGAGAATTTAAATTTGAATATAGGTATGGCTGTATATATTTTGAGATAAATAAAGTTGAAACTTGATGTTGCCAAAGTAACCTCTCTTATGAAGATTTATCTATTTTTGAATACAAAAGGTTGTGTATGTGTAACATATGTGAATTTGATCGGCCTGAAGGCCGGTAAATGTTTAACAGAATTATATATGCATCTTGTGGTAATAAACGCATGATAGTTATTTGGTTTTACGTGTGAATAATTGACGTGTGACTATAATTTCATAGTTTCGTACATCATTTGCCTTGCATTTTATATGCTTTAATGATAAATTACACTTTATTTGCGCGTAGTGGAGTCTATTTTTTGTGTAGGTGAATTGGAGATGAAAGTAGATCAAAAGGGATACTTAAACGTTGAAAGTGTGCTCGAGAACAGTGAAAAGGAGAAAGTTGGCGAGGCCAGGCAAAAGCCAACTTAACCAGGCGTTAGCCTAGCGAGGCCAGGCAAAGACCAGCTTAACAGGAGCCTGGCGAGGCCAGACAAAGGCCAGCTCTACTAGGCGTTATGCCTGGCGACGCCAGACCTAGGGCGTGCACATTTCGAATTTTGAAGACTTATTTCGTCTCCTGGTTTGACTAGGACTTGGCCTACATGTTTAGGTCTTTTCCTATACATATAAATAGACCAAAAAAATGCCACTTTGGAGGGAGACAAACCGAGATTGGACGGGGAGACCGACATTAGACCGGAGATTTGACCTAAGGAGGCAAGAACACACTAGGAGCAAGGCGGAGAATTCTTCTACGAGTTTTTCACTTCCTTCTACCTATTTCCATTATTGGTTATGAATTCTAGTATTGTAGTTATGCATACTATTATGAATAGCTAATTTGCTATCATGGATTTTGATGGAAACTATTGGAGGATGATTTTCCTGTTACATTAATATAGTTTTGCCGTAGTATTTTCTCTATTTGTTCAACTACGTGTTTATTGTGGTTGGTTGAAAAGCTCTCAATCGACTGTGCCTATTTAGTGTGTATTACTCGGGAGAGAATTATGACACTCAGAGCGCTCATGATCGGTAGAGAATACTTAGGCTAAATTATAGAAGACGTAGCGGGAAGGATTCCGACAATTGGGGAAATCATAACTCTAGACCTCCTTAATCTTTTCTCCAACCTGTAGTATCTTTAGTTGTTAATATACTACTGTAATTATTTAGTTAATTAGATATAAGAATCTTCATATTTATAACTTAGGAATTGTTCGAGCTTATCTTCTTAGTGATAGTGAACAGCTGTAGCTAAGCCTTAGTTCTCCGTGGGATTCGACTCCGGACTTGTAAACTGGATTATATTTGCAACGACCGCTTAGTCCTTTTTATAAGGCATAGTTGGGCGTGATCAAATTTTGGCGCCGATGGCCGGGGGACTAACGGTGTAGTTGTAGGTGTACATATTGCTAGGTTGCAAGATTGTAACTTTTTATTTTAAATTTTTTTTATTTGATTTTTTTATTTTTGTTTTTATTNATAAGTATTCATGCTTATTCTTCAGTTTGAATATATATTTATCTTACAGGAGTCAAGTATGTATTAATACCAAGTAACTTTGCTTGAACAGGTTTTAGTTAATAAACATGTTAATGTCAAAGTTAGAAACTTTATATATGCTGATGGTATGTTATACAAAAGAATTCAGCTGTACTTTTTTTGCTTTCAGTTGTATTCAATTGTGTTTAACTGTCAAATTCAATTGTATTCAGCTGCATTCATTCAGATATATCTTTCAATTTCAGATAATACATATTAAAGAACACATTTTCAGATGTATTAAGCAGGTTGTACGTAGTCAGTTGTATTCAGATGTACTCAATTGTATTTAACTGTCAAACTCAATTGTATTCAGCTACATTCATTCATATGTATTTAAATGTATTATTCAGATGTCTTCAGCATAATTTGAATACATAAAAAATAAGTATTCAATAGTTTAAATGTATTATTCAGATGTATTCAGATGTATTCATATGTATTCAATAGTTATTTTTGATTGCAACTATTCAACTTTCCAGTAAGTTTTCAAATGTATTCAAATGTATTCATATGTATTCATATGTATTCATATGTATACATATGTATTTTTATGTATTTTGATAGTTTCCAAATGTTCAATTTTCCAGTAAGTTTTACTTGTATTCATAAGTATTCATGTGTATTCAGCTTTAGTTATTTTTGTTTGCAACTATTCAATTTTCCAGTAAGTTTTCAAATGTATTCAAATGTATTCATATGTATTCAACTTACTTATAGATACTAAGGTTTTCTATAGGGTGTAAAATTTCCTATATTTATTTGTATAAAAATACTTCAACTAAATGTATTCAGAAAATATTCAAGAAAGTCATTTCAAAATATATTACTTGACAAAGAGAATTTATTATAGCTGATAATGTCATCAAAAGTATTGACAAATCGTTGAAGCACTAATACATGTCAGAGTGTTAACTATTTATTACGTGGAGCATTTCTACACGTTCGCTTGTTATGTCCTCCCTGACCACATATGCTACATGAATGTTGATTTTTCGGCTGCAGCAATTCACTTAAAGTTTTATCGCGCTTCTTCTTTGGCCTTCCAGGAGGTCTTTTTCATTTGGGTGGCAGTACAACCTCCTCTGCAACATGTTCTGGTATATTCCAGTCATTTTTGTCCGGTAGCGGGTACACTGGCACATCGTATATCATTACAATTGTACTTGGTTTGTAATAGTTAGAGCAATATTCTTCTGGCATTAGAAACTTGCTCTTCAATACAGCCCAAGCATGTGGGCATGGCAATTCATCAATTTGGAACCTCCCACAAACACATTTTCTCTCTAACAGGCAGACTGTGTAATTCCTCCCACCATCGTTAACCGTATGTAAGTATTCAGTTGATGGTACCACCTACATTTAAAAATAGAAATATAAGTTTTGAACACATTTACCTGAATTACCAAATGTATAGTGCTGAATTAATAAGTTACATACAACTGAAACATTTGCATATATAAGAATACATCATATATTTAGACCACTAAAATATCAACTGCGAGAAGTGCAGAACTTATCAAAAGTCTGATGTACTTTAGGCAACAGTATGATAACGAAAGCATTAGAGTCATACGTATTCACAATACATATAAAAATTACATATCATAGAGCTAGTTGTATTCTGATGTATTCCAATTGTTTTTCCAGCATGTTTTTAGTTATATTCAGTTGTTTTCATATCAGATCTATGGGCAAATATGTCTTTTATGTGCTTGAGCATAGTTGTATTCATATACATTAATGGTAGTTCTACTTAAAAATGATTGTATTCAGTTGTATTCATGCCACTAATTTAGAAAATAACTAAAACTATATACAGCAATGACAGTAAAATTTAACTTACAGTCATACGTGTACACATTGTCTCATTCAACTCCAGCATCTCCTGGTATTTTTTCCCAAGTGTCTTGTATGTCTGTGTAGCTTCTTTGCGGTTACTACAATTCCAACGTCCAAACATCTTCCTAACTTCTTCGAGGAAGTCGTATATTGGCAATTCCCTTGCTGAAACTAGTGCGGCATTGATTGACTCAGCAATATTTGACGTCATTGTCCATCCCCTGTTAACAGGTGCATACAACCTAGCCCACTTTTCGTAACCAACTAACTCTAAGTATTCTTTCACCCTAATATCTACCTTCTCCATCAGACTGTCAAATTCAGCTTGTGTGTATGCTTTTGCCATCGAGAAGTATATCTCGCTCAACTTGCCATGGCTCTTTTTGAATTTCTTATATACGTTGTTCCATAGATGCCATATACAAGCAAAATGCGGTACATCTGGATACACTCTCGGTACAGATTTAATGATACTCTCATTTCTATCTGAAACGATGCACATGTTTTCCCTTACACCGTATGCTATCTTGAATTGCTCAAAGAACCACGTCCAAGCAGCATCGTTCTCTAAATCAATAACACCATACGCTAGTGGCAATATATGACCTGTAAATACAATTGAATAATTATTTTTAAAACATGTATTTCAATATTTAAAATATTAACAGATTGTATTATTATTCAGATACTCACCTGCACCATCCAACGTGCTTGCCGAAACAAATGTCCCGGTGTAGTAAGATTTTAGGTGACTTCCATCCACAACAACAATTGGTCTACAATGATCAAACCCCCTTATAAAGGCATACAATGATATATACACGTACATGAATTCATTTTTTGGCGATTTTACCATTTTGATGTGGCCTGGATATGTCATATCTATTGTATATAAGTATCCTGGTAATTTTTTGTACGAATCAGCCGGTTCACCTCTCAGAAAATTCATTGCCTTTTCTTTAGCCCTCCAAGCCAACATGTAGCTAACATCTACACCTAAAGCTGATTTCACATCATCAATAATATCCCTCGGAGTGTATTTCCTCTTATGGTTTGTAAGCTTTGGCCTTATAATTCCACCTATAAGGCTGCTACTTGCCTGCCGCTGCTCGTGCACCTTGTCCTTCAGCGGACATGTATGGTTATCATTGAATTCTCTCACCTTGAATAGTTCTGATTTGTTAATGCTTGAAGCCTTAAACCTCCATTCACAATCTTCTGAAATACATAATAATGCATAGCTGCAAATAATTAA